TCTGATACCAATTGTTAGGTCCTAATCAGATTCAAGGCAACCAGATGGACCAATTGAGAGAGAATAATTCAGCTTCCCATTCCAGCTGTAACAATTACTCCTAATTGTTAACTGACCTGAACTCTAGGAAACAAAAAATCCATGTAACAACTTTCCTAATTACTAACTAACTGACCCGAATTTTAGGAAACAGAATGTAACAACTTTCCTAATGACAATTTCAAACAGAACTTCAACAAATAGCTAGCTGACCAAGTCAATCACTCCAGCTGGTGCAATGAATGATTTGCCCAAGGGCTTCCTTCAAAAAAAAAAATAGTTGGATTTGGATATACAATAGACGGTAAAACCAATGTGAACCCTCCATTAACCCTCGTTAACTAAACAAGATAAGGCAGTCTTCTCTTTCTCTCCAACATTGGACATTCGAATTCCAAAAGAGAAAACGTAACCCATCTCTTCTCCTCTCCCCTCTCAAACCTCTCTCTCTCTCTCTCTCTCTCTCCACTTGTGTATTGTTTCTACATCCGAGGATGTCTAGGAAAGCAAGTGGTTTAGGTAACTTTGCTCATACAGATATCAAGGGGAGACCGACGGTATTGTTAAAGCAGAGCAGCAGTAAAAGAGTTGCCGGAAATAGGGACAACGCTGGAACTTACAGTTTTCGACTACCCAAGAGCTCAGGATTTTCACCGGTGATATTTCTGAGGAGTCTTGGAGATAAGTTGGCAAGAGTTTTTCAAAGGATATTTACGAGGGGGAGGAGGTCGTCCTCCAAGGTCTCCTCGTCCAACTCAACGTCAAGGCCGTTGGCTACATCGTTTGATTCTCACCGGTCGGAAGCCATAGAAGATTGCATCGAATTCATCTACTCTTCTGCTTCTTTCCAGAGGTCCAATTCCGTTTCAACGAATGAATCCTTGTTTGACTTTGGGGCAGAATTATGGCATGCCATGTATGTAAATGGACCCGACCCAACCCGCATTTCATCACCTTCTTTACCCGCCTCAAAAAATCATTCGCTCGACAGAGCGACGAAAACTAAAGATGCAGGGAGCCTTCGAGAGACCAAATAAGGGTGGCTTATCACCCATTTCAACAAATAAATGTATTAAATATTTGAAAAAACAAAAGAAAAAAACAATGGAGTAAGAAAAAAATGAAAACAGATTACGGTGGTGATTAACAACCACCTGTGAATGCTCTTGAGCGGCAATAAGCGGCCAGTACGCTCCGAACCTCCCGGCCACTAGCGGCCGGGCAAAAATGATTGCCGGTGGTCGGCGATGTATTATAAACACTAAAACTTCTAAGTGGTCGGCGATGTATTTCTATATGCCTGCAAATGATCTCAACGGAAAAACATAAGCTAACAAGACAACCAGGAGAGTGGGTGGGTTTTGTTTTATCCGGCAGCGCGTGTAGGAAAGCCAGCGAGTTTCTGTCACCGGGGCTCTCCTTGTTTTCTCAGACTTTCTCTGTTTCGGTCTGCGAAGTAATAAATGAGTTTAGGAAAGAAAGAGGAAGAATTTCTTTTTGCGACGAGATTCTGCCGAGAATTACGTTTTCTCTTTTGGAATTCGAATGTCCAAAGTTGGAGAGAGAGAGAGAAGACCGCCTTAAATACGGAGGGTTAAGAGGAGAGGGTTAATCTTTGTTGGAGAATTGTGAGGTTGGACAGATAGGGACAGGTGGCATTATTTGAGTGGACTAGTAGAGAGGAAAGGGGGAAAAGATTAATAGGAAATTCGAATTGACTTCATTGCTTCTTTATTATTATAATAATCATAATTTGACAGAGTCCGGATCACTGGCCAATAAAATACGTTCTAACACGCTATCAACATCATCTGACATCACATATCACAGGTCCCACCAATTTCATGGTAAGATGTGTGGTGTCAGATGATGTTAATAGGGTGTTGGAGTGTATTTTATTGGCAGAAGAACCAAACACAATTTGACAAGGTTTAAAATACTGATATGATATAGCCGGGTTATCGTATCAGGGTGAAAGTTTTAACGTCTTCCATGTTTGAATAACTAAAAGACAGTGGAGGGTACGTGCTGTTAAATTTCCAAAGCCTGCCCAGAGCATCACCAAACAAGATCTTAGCTAAAGACTTTGGTGAGGTGGGCCATCAGATAATTGCCCCCCAAGTACATGTGGCCTTCTGTGATTAACCGCCATGTTTTCTTCCTTTAATGAATGCTCGACCTCTTCAAATTCACTAAAAACTATTTTGCATACATTTTCTATTATCCTCTTGGTTGCTTTTGAATACGATTTGCCTCTTTTGACTGTCCCGGAATCTCTTTCGATGCGGATCTTCTTCTTCTTCTTTGGATTTGGATCTTCGGAAGCTTCTTTGCTTGGTCCATTTTTGTATGCATTCTTTATTTTTTTGTATTTTTAGCCATTTCATCGTTAATAACAACAATTCTCATTTATTACACTTTTTTTTTAATTATGAATACATAAAATTAGAATTGTGCTAAACTTTTTCAACAAATTTTCTATATTTCTTTCTAACATTTTTGTATTTTTAATTTTTTAATTTTTTAAAAAATTATGACATCACACAACCTGTTTAACTAAAAGGTTGAACCATTGACTTACCACTTGGAAAAGTTGCTTTTGGTTCCAGAAAGTTTTAAATTTTGTATTCCAATTTTATCACTAATAAAAACAATTCCTATTTATCACATTTTTTTTTAATGTGATGAATGTATAATATCGAATATGTGTCTAAGTTTTTTACAATTGTTGTATTTTATTTGCTTTTAATTTTTATTTTTTAATTATGGCATCCTAGGTTGACCCATTTGACCAAGATGGTTGAACCAATGATTTACCACCTAAATGGAAAAATGGTTTCATTTTTCTATATCTTTTAAATTTTAAAATTTTGTATTCCATTTTCATCATTAATAAAAATATTTCTTTATCACACTATTTTGTTTATAATATTAGAGGCATGAACAAATTTTCTATAAAATTTTCAATATGCTTCTATATTTTGTATTAATATATATTTTACTCCATTTGATCTAGATAGTCGAATTTGATAATCCACCACCTAGATGGAAAATGGCTTCATTTTTGGGTTAGTCTTAAATTTTGCACTACATTTCTACCATTGATAAATACTTCTTATTTATCATACATATTTTTCTTTAATATAATGAATAGATAATATTAGAGATGTGCCTAAATTTTTCTACATAGTTTTTATATTTTTTTTCTATTTTTATTTCTATCTATTCTCAAAATTATTAAATTTCTGTAGTTATATATTTATCACGCTTATTTTGTTTAATACAATAGCTATATAGAGATGCGTCAAAGTTTTCTACAAAATTTTTATATATTATTTTGTATTTGTATATTTTTTAAATTTTATTATTTAATTGAGACCATAGGTTGACCTATTTGACTTGAAATGCTAAATCAATTTTAAATTTTACATTCTATTTTCATCATTAATAAAATAATTCTTTTTATCACATTTATTTTTGTGAGGCTAATTTCAAAGATAGGGGTAAAGAAAAAGTTTGAAAATCTTAGACCCCATCTATACTTTTAATAGTAGTATATAAATATAGATATAGATATGTGCACATCACCCCAAAAATTATTACCATTGAGAACCCAATTGTAAATTGCACCCAATTTCTCAAGCCAAAATCTTGTTTTAGAATTTTCTTAAAAAACAAATAGGGGGGCTAATCGGATATATAACATGGTTTGTTTTTTTTTTTTTTTGTTGCTGGTTCTAAAAAAAAAATCAAAACCATTTGCTTTGAAAACAGATTGTTCCTCAAAACAAAAACACAAAAAAACATGTTGATAATTGTCTATGTATTTTTGTTTTGCCTTCTCATATGTCCCATACACTTCTTTTTTACAAACTTTATGAACTGGGTCCTATCTTGTATAGATTTTTAGAGGGGTAAGGTTTTTATGTTCTCCCCTCATAGGCTCTTTATTTCAACATTAATGAAATTTCGGTGGCCACCCCTCCTCTGGGAATAAATTTTGGAGTTAAAAAAACAACAGGTTCATGAATTTCTGATTTCAAAGGCATATTTTAATCAAGTTATTTAATATCATTTTCCACAAACCATACATTTTCTATGCCACAAAATTTGCTTTTTTTTTTGAAGCAATACCAACTTATTTTTGCCTCTCAAAACAAAAAGAAAATTCAAGGACTTTTTATAATCATCATCATTTTGCATCGCATTGGTGAATTCCCCCTAAAACTCTGTCTTTCACTTCTTGAATAACAAATTATAACCCAAGTAATTTGATTTCTAATTACAATCTTCCAATGATCTGCATGGTTTCCCAACACGCCTCTAATTTAAAATGTTAAAACAATGGTTTTAAATTATGACTTTTTCAATCAGTTCTCAATTTATTTTGTTAGCACCATACCAATCATAAAATTATGAGAAAAAGAGTTTATTAATCACTGAAAGTAGTATTTCTTAATACCAAACCACCAACTAGATTTTTAAAAGTTAAAAATAATTAATAAACCATTAAAAATTAGTATTTTAAATCTTAACAATATTTATTTTGATTTCATAAAATATACATTCATATCTCAATTCTTAACTTGTACCATTTCTCAGAATCCCAAATATATTCCTGATAATTCACACTTAAACATCATATTTGTGCTTGTACCTTATTTATAATAATTTGGGCCTTAAATTCAATGTTGCTATGAAATCAAAGGATTTTTGTGAGTTCACCGTTCACCTAATCTTTCAACCATGTCTATGCATATCAAAGCTATTGCAAATTTGTGATACACATCCATTTACCTTTGATATGCTCCGCACTACCGATATTTTACACTTTATTATGACCATGACACAAACCCATCACATGTCTATGGTTTTAAAATGCCAAATTAAAAATGGTGCTCATCAATTAATAGAATGAACTGCTATTGTAATTGATAACGTAGGTAGAGATCATGAAAACGACTGTGAATGCAGAGTGCTGCTGTTTTGGGTTAAAAAAGAAACAAATAAAGGAACACACATTTTAAGCACTAAGCATGGAACTGAATGAACAATGCACAACTTTTACAGCAATTTGGCAAACAAGAAGAGCTTTTTTCTGTAACATTTAGACACATGCAAAATCAATCAAATCACAATATTTGTAATTGTAAAAAAAAAAGGCCAAAATAAACACACATGATTGCCCCCTGACGATGATACTTCAAGGCACCCTCATTGTCATGCTGCTGTCAGTTTCTTTTCACTGGTCTTGCGGAAAGGTGACAACAAAGAAAAAGAACGAGAAGCTGTACAAAGAAACAAAGTCCTTGAGCCTATTCCTATATTCGTTTCAACTTGGAATGGCATAGCATGATAGCACATAAACGCAAAAATAAATGAATAAAAAATGATAAATGGAAAAAAAATCAGAGAATTAATGTGCATATAAGTTTGCTAAAGAGTTCTCACCCTTCTGTGGAGTACTTGCTGTAGGGGTCTCGTCTTGAGAGATTAGATTCTTCAATGTATGAACTGATGATATCAACAAATAAAAGAAACAGCTTATTAGCTTGTGACTATAGCGGTGACTTAAAGTTAGCAACTTTCAGAATGCTAGTCTTGGTCCTAAGTCAAGCTTTGAAATCATCCTTGCAGGGCAATACAATTTTTGCTGATACAGTTTTAGTAACTTGTTTTCTTCACAAAACGAGTCCGTCAATCAATGATAGACTATGATGGTTTTAAATTCAAATTCTTACATGAAGTTAAGAACTTTACTCGACGTTTACAAGCCAGCTGTCAAAATCAGCTTTAAAACTTTAACACATAGCAAAGATATAGGAATTACTCAAAGTTCAACTCCAGAATGTTGAAATATGGTTATGGGTTAGAACATAAAGGCTTTTACATATAGAAGATAATTCCATCAGATGTTTAATTATAATGCAAAACCTCTTTCTATATAAAATCTTTCCACATAATGGAGTTTGTTGGTCTTCAAAAGCTGTCAATGCCTCAACAGTGAAGATGATAGAATAAAGGCTAATATTAATATCTTATTAACCAACCTGGCTACTGCAGGCCAATTTAGCAAGATTTTTCAATTAAAACTTTCACTGACCTCCATTTTAATTTAGTCTTCCACCATATTGGCCTAGCTAAGTAGAAAACAGAAAGATGGATTTTTTTTATACATAAACAGAAAGAATGATTCACAAGTAAACTACTTTGCACATTGATTTTGATGGGTTAAGGGTCCACATTCAATGGTCATATGTAATGTCAAAATCTCCACTGGAACAGTGCTGAAACGCCATCTAAATTAATGGTTTATATGGATGGGCTTTATGGCTCAAGTTAAAATCATCTATGCTTGTCATTTGACCATATCAGAGTGACTTTCTTCTTTGACTAGTAATGAAGACATAAAACAGTAGAAACTAAAACCCTAAAGCACAAAATAACAGATATCAACTTTTAATACTTTAGGGACTAATGAACTATTACAGAGAATGTCAGATGCACATACCCTCATTAGAAACATTGCCTGCGGCATGACCATCAGCAACTGAGCCATCAATGCTCAACTTATCTGATTCATTGTTACACTCAGCAGTAGTGGAACTATGGTGCTTCCTGCCAAACTTCAACAGCCTTCTAAACCCTTTTGAGGATTCCTTTACCTGAGGCTTCTCTAAGGCTTCTGAAATTTGGTCTGAAGAATCTGGGTTTGTAAAATCACGTACATGTACCTTGACAGTCTCTGTGCCTGTTACTGCTACTTCTGAATTTGTTGGGGTTGTATTGGTATATTCTAAATTTCTTGTATAAGAACCATCCATGGATGACATGGATGACGCCCGAGCATGTGGGGCTTGATATGGTTTCTCAGAAATTGTCAGACTTGAAAACTTCAACAATTCCTCCTTTGCCTCCATTGCATTACCTGTTGTCACCTGGCCTCAAAAACAAGTATAAGAATCAGATAATGGTTTCATCCCATCTCAAGCTAATCATGTCTGCCAAGGGAATTAGAAATTTGTGTTGATTACTAGGTTTAGCAGTTCTCAAACAAAGAAAACTATAGAAATATCCTTCCACTTACAGATAGGACATCTCCTATGGTTATCAGAAGATAAAAATTAAATCCAAAAGACTTTTGGGTTGAGACTGGCATGTTGACAGATGAACATGTGCTTAATGCAAATGCATTGATAAGGATTTATTAGAAAATTGAGGTTCAACAGCACTTAGATGGTTGCATATGTCACAACTTGCTAGAATTATTTTATTATGTGTACAAATGATAGGAAGTCAACCTTCATCACTCTTAATGAGCCCACAAAGCCTGTTTATGATCCCTAAATAGTGCATCACCCTTAGGAAGGTTTTAACCAGGGTAAATGCGGCGATGCACTTCCCATACAAGATTCAGATCTTGGAATGTTTTGCCAAGATTCCTAGGACTGCTTCAACCCAATTCCAATTTAGAAATCCAATTTTTATGTGTAGTTCTAAGATTTTTTTTAGTTATTAAATTGGGTATTTGGTGATTTAATTCTCTCATCATCATCATCCATGGCTTATCCCAACTATATGGGGTCAGCTACATGAATCCTGTTTCGCCAATCCATTTTTAGGCTAGCCAAAACAAACTATTTTGGGCTATTTGGGACCTAATATCAATTGCTTAGTATAATGGTAAATTCTCAGGTTGACAAGCATGAGGATGTAGCATGTAGGTTTGAGTCTAAGAGCGGCCACTTTGTGATAAAAAATGCCAAAGGTTAGTTCCAATTTCGGTCCACCCCTCCCAAGATCCCAAATACTGGGACCCACATTGGGCTATGTCCTTTTTATAACTGTAGTTTCTGATCTCTTGCAGCTGACAGTCGGCACACTATGAATGAAAGAAAAAACCTCCCAAGGCTTTCATATGTGGTGGGACCACATGCCTAAGTTTAAGAGAAGTAATACTCTTAGTTCTACTTCAGAAAGAAAATTAAGGACTGCTGAGACTCCAGTTCCAGCTGAAGCAAATACTTAAGGATCCTGTAACTATTATATCTTGTTATAACCTCTAGCTTTTCTTAATAGTTTCTCTATTCTCCAGATAAAAATTCTGGGTTTCAATCTTCAACTCTTGCATCTTACTGGCTCAAACTTCTCAGTACCCATAACCAATTAGATGAGCCCCAACTCTAGGCCTATTTTGTTCACAATTACTCCAAACAGAAACCTAATTTATGCAGCCTATTACTACAATAAATCTATATTAAATATATCAAATCCTAGCCTATAATAACATCAAGAAGTCAAAATATAACCAAGAAAACAAGTGCAGAAAGTCCTATAATGCTAACCTTCTTTAACCTAAACTAGAAGTGTGGTCCATACTGTGTCTACCATATGATGATAATGATATAAAGGGCATAAATCACATCTTTGCTACTACCTTGCATGCCAAAACTCAACAGAGCCTGTATGTGAAATTCCACCAACTTTTGTAAGATGGAACTTTTTTTTTTGCTTTGATACACATTTGAAAAGTGCAACTTATATTTTTTTATTATGTATGTGAAACACATAAAAGCAGAAAGAATTCTAGATTGGATGAGGTTTCATTTAGCCAACCCAAATAGTTGAGTTAATGCCAGGATGCTGGAAATCATCTCCTTTGCTATTATGAACATTATAATATCAGTGAAAGAACAATTCTTGTTCCAACTTGGAAATAATAATAAGACTCATAAATGAAACTTAACATTCTTTTTTTTTTTGATAATTAATGGAACTTAGCATTCTTTAAGGTTATGATTTCAATCCTAGGATATGAACCAAAGAGGAAAGCCCTTCAAAGTTATAAAGAAAAGTTTACTTTTTCCCACTAGAGAAATCAAGTTTATTTAATGAACAAATAAAGAACTTATGACCTTACCTCATCAGAACTGGGTTGTTCATTTAATCGGCATTGACTATAACTACAATCAGCTTCATCCATGGTACGCGGTGAAGGCGGTGCTCGAATAGCTGCATATTCTGAAACCACCTCAGTCTTCTCTGTAGCTATATTTTCACCATATGATCCCTTTTTCATCTCCATCTTTTCCTCAGGTACCTGTCCAGTAGGATCTGGGGGCATCTCAGGCTCAAGCATCACAACAGTTTTCTCAATAATTGGGTTGTCATCACCATTGATATTATCTACAGCTTTATCATTACTCCTTTTCAGTTTGACACTTTCCGAAGATCCCATAATCTTGCTTCCATTTGCTTTCTGCTCCATATCTTTTGTCACTGCTTTGTTCTGTACCATCGCTGCAGGCCTTCTTGGTGTTCTTATTTTCAGCCCTGGAAGAGTTGCAGCTTTAGTTCTGTCATGGTTCATAATTGCAGAAATCTTTTTAATCTCTGGCTCATCAAATAATTTTCGCTTTAACACTGGTTCAGCACTTTGCGACTTTACTGAAGAAACACGAGCGCTGCTACTTGTTTTGGGTTCAGATAATCTTCTGATTCGTGTTGAGGTTGCCTTCGGTTCAGGTGTGCTGCCATTCTCTTTCTTTAACTCAGGTAATGATGAAACTGACCGGCTTAAACCATTTCCCCCTAGATGGCCACCACCACCGCTCAGTCTGGTTTTAGTAGTTTTAAGAGAGTCACTGGATCCCAAAGAAGCAGTTCTAATAGGAAACCTTTGTAGAGGTGACAATTGTCCAGGTTCCGAATCACTGAACTTTGATCCCTTACGAGAACTGGGGGAAAGTTTTGTTGGCAACCGTGATCTGGTTTGCTGGGAGGACAATGGAGATTGTGTAGGACCAGAATTGTTTCTTGCTGCAATTCTCTTTTGCCGTTCTCTTTTCAAAGCTTCCAGTCGCTTTATCTCTTCCTCTTCCTGACAACAAAATTGCAGAATATATAAGTCATGGAATCAAACTAGCTGACAATAATGACCGTGAATGAGAAAAAGTAAAAAACAAGCAATTCAAACTGGTAAATCCAAATTTTTAAAACCTTAACTGGAGATTGACCCAGTTAGGAGATTGTCCCACTCCAACTTTGTTTTGTCATTAGAGAGACAAACCATGATAAAAATATATTAATAAATGTGGTAATAAATATTGCATTAAAATTTCACAGCTAGATTTTTCATCTGAGCATACTACATTACTTAAGGGTGAAAATTGGGTACCTGATTCGAGAAATATCCCATTGCATGACCTGGGCGCTCAGGCCAGACCCTTTCAAAATTTAACAAATGCAAACCCATGTCTGCCCAAGTTGCACTCCTAATATTACCATGCATAAGCTATCTTCCTTTTTTCCATTTCTAGTTTTACACAGAAACTCCTATTCTACTAAATTCTTAAGAAAACTAACAATCTAATCCCTTGCTGTTATGTTAATGAAGCCACCTACTCAGATGATGCAGTTTAATGACAAATCACTTGAATGGAATAGTTCTGCTGGCTTTTATGCAACTCAAGTCAAAGGCTAAGACTAACCCAAGAGGGATTCCTGTTATGAACTTATGATCAAACTTAGGCAGTCCAGGTCATAAAATATATATGTTATACCAAGATTTAGTTGAGTACTCTTGCACAAATAGTTGTTTACAAGGTGGAACAAAGTGTTAGGGGAACTAATAGGAATTAGGAAGTACCTTCTCCTTCTTCAATTTCTGAAGATCGGTTTTATAGGCCCTTAGCCTCTCAGCTCGTGCTTGTGCTTCAGTTAAAGGACTTGATTTCGTAGGCTTCCCTTTCCTTACTGCTGTCTCATTCTTTCTCTTCTGCAAACTATCTTTAACAACTTTCGACTTCTTCAACCCTCCCTTAACGTCTTCCTTGTCCTGAGTCTCGACAGTAATACCATCTTCAGCACGAGCCTGGATTTCATAGTCTACTGCAGGGTCATAACCAATGGATTGCCTCTCTGTTGCACGCTCTGGCATCAAACTCAAATCATCTGGCTCATAGCTGAGCTGGCTTCTAGTCCTAGTGGATGTATTTTCTGTCTTCTGAAGTCCTGATGGGAGCTCAGAATCCATATCAATAGCCTCTCTGCTATCAGTTCCGACCTGTTCCTGTGAGATTGCCCTCACAGGAATTATAAAGGATTCATCAGTTATATCATGTGATGAACCATTGTCCATATTCTTGATGGCAGCACGCTCAAACCCATTTCCCACAAGAGGATCTGAAAGAGAACTTGCAGCACCAGAATGATTTTCTCGTCCATAAATCATAAAATCATCATTCGTGGACCTTCTATATCTTCCCCTTCCACCTTCTATTTCCGTTAACTGTATGTCTGCCTGACCTTCACTGGATTCTCTACCAGCACCAGAATGAAAACCTCCTTGAGAAATCACTGATTCATCATTTGATGCCTTTAACATGCGTCTTAACTTGCCATTAATTGTGTCGAATTCAGTGAGTCGCCCCTGTAATTCACCAAGATCTCGTCCATGAGGAACTATAGGATCTCCACCTCCTGTACTTTTTCGTCTCTTCACTTGAGTTTCTTTTTCCATAGCAAACATGCCCCTATCAACCCTATGTGCATTTTCATCTTCTCTCAACAAACAATTCTGAAATGCTTGCCAGTTTCCTCCATCTATCTCCTGTCCATAAATTGCGTCATCCTTGTGATATGAATTCCAGGTATCACCAGACTTTGCATGGCTTCCTTTACATGTTGAAGATCTTACAGAGTTCTTATGCTTCATTTCTAGAGCATCAGCATTCAAACCCTCACCTTCTTCATCAGTTTCAGGGTCAGAAGCTGACTCTGATTCGCTGCCTGATGTGTTTTGTCTTTTTGAAGTGATATAATTGATGTTCCGGATGACAACCATGCCCGATTTCTTTTTACCTGATCGACCAGTCTTTTTCCGTGGTTCCCGACCTAGTGAAACTTCTTTCTCCAAATCATCCTGTAATCTTGTATTGGAGGCACCCGTCTCTAAATTCTCCGACTCAGTGTTGCTATCTTTACTATCCATGGAATGCCTTTTCTGGATCCTTTGTGCAGCATTGAATCTAGGATCTTCTAATGGAGGATATGGCTGAAAAAATGGGCCACTTCCTGGATGATAGTAAGGCATACCTTGCACAGGATACGGTTGAAAGACTGGTGGTGCACCAGGTGGAGAATGAATAGGCCACTGAGGAAACATGGGATGCTGAAATTGACCTTGAAAATATTCATGATGACCTGGTGGTACTTGAGGATCCATGGAGAGCCTCTTATCTGGTAAAGATGAAATTTCAACTAAGTAAATGTCAAGGACATGACAGTAGATGAATAATACAATAAAAATGAACTTATGGTGTAAGGAAATTTTAAAATAAATATGACAGGAATTTTAAGAATGATAAAAATACTATTCTCAAAACTGTTTGGGCAATCCCAGGAATTCAGGAATAGGAGTTTTCAGAAATGCTTATGATGCAATATTGGCAACTTAGCACCTCTTGCTTCATGTGTTTCTTATGCATGGTAAGTTGTGAAACTGCATTTCATTTGCTAATCTCCTGTACATATTTGGAATTTGGGATTTTTAATTCTCATTATTTGGATGCAGGTGAACTCCATCAGAAATGAGAAACCTCTTTCAAGCCTCTTTTCTTTTCCCCTCCTAAGAAAAGGGGCAACATCTTATGGAGAAAAGTAAGGGAAGCAATTCTGGTTCTGGGGACAGATTAAGAAGAGAGATATACAAGAATGTTAAAAGATAAGACCCAGGACCTCGTAGAAGCCATTTTTATAAGGGTAGCACATTGGGTGAAATCTATGCCCATCTTTGATCCTTATACTACAGATGATATTGTAAGAGGATGGTAGGTTGTTGCATCCTCCTCATTGGATAGCACACAAATACTGCCAAGTTGGTCCCCACCAAGCGACTAGCCTAGAATCTCATAAACTTTGATGTTAGGTTGAGGGAATCCAAGGATGTAAGGAATTAGAGGAGCATTTAGGAATTTGTCATGGTATAATTACAGATTATTCTCTTAAGCTGTAGGATATGGGGATTCTACAAGAACTGAACTACTAGCAGTATCACAACGCTTAAGATTGTCTAAATCACTGAACTTCACAAACTTAATGCTGGACTGGGATGGCTTAAAAACAGCACTGCATCTTGGAGTGGTAATTCCAGTAATTAGGTGGAAGCCAGATGGATATGATCATTGGCATTTGAGGTCTGTTTAGTGTCTTATTTATATTATTAGTGGGTTTTATGGTGTTTTATATTGGATGCTTGAACCATAAAGCCTTGTACATTGCTTGTATTTTTCTTTTCTTTAAATACTTTATTTCACTGTAAAGAAAACAAAGAAATACAGATATATCTTGAGGGAAGCAAAAAATCTATCAGAGTTTTGAGGAGATAAGAGCTGCAATGTAAGTAGAAACACAAACCAACTAATAGCATCACTGATACTTTCGCAAAAGAGGGAGTAAACAGAACCATGCTTATATTGGGGGATTGCCTCTGAGGAAAGAAGAATGTAATAAACACCATTTGAAATGGAATAAGGATGATATGTAGCAGGGGCTAGCCTATCAAAGGGGTATTAAGCATGAAACCAACTCTTGCACATCATTCTTTTACAACACTTAATAAAAGTTTTGACCGTTAGTTTGTTACTGACCAAAAAGGAGAAAAAAAAATCATGACATTATTCTGTTGACCCATATGACATGGTGACTCTAAATGGGTTGAACTAGGTCAATTGCAAGGACAGAAGTTGTGTAATCATCCCTAAACTACAGAAATATAGCAGTCTAGGACTCAAAAGATAGTGGCAAGCAGCAGGCTGGTATAAAAAAATAAGCAATCGGTGCCCGAACATATAGCTATATCATGAGGGAGGTCACACAACTGGCAATGGAACTAAGAGAAACCTTCTATTGGATACACAGACCTGCGACAGGAACTAGCCTATTGAAATGAGTTCATTTGCAAGGGTGGGCCTAGCAAAACTGGTGTTTGGCACAATTACTTTGTGTATGATTGTTACTGATAAAACTGGCAAAAAAATTGTATATATTTGAGAACTCTAACATAAAGGAAATTATAAACTGGTTTTTTTGGCCTATGCTAATTGGAAACTCCCCCCCCCCCCCTTTGAACTACTGCAAGACCTCTACACCAGGCAGGTAGGCAACTAGCAAAGCTCTGAGATCTTGAGAAACTACAAAGTACAGTGAAGAATTTCTTGATCATTTCTAATTTGGTAAAAATGGTCAATACAGTTTTTTGTTTTCCTTCCAACAAGCAAAGAAATGCATAGGACATATTAACATTGTTAGTTGGTCGAGTAAGGGTAGATTAGTCTTTTCATTATGTTTTAAGTTATGTGATGATGTGGCAATTCTGTTTTAACTTTTTTAGTTCACTTGTCCCATACTTAAGTAGGGGCATATTTGACCTTTTACTCTAATTATATTGTAAGAGATTATGGTTGACTAGTAGGGATAATCTCTCTAGTTCGACAACTTCTTCTTCTTCTTGACCTTTTACTCTAATTATATTGTAAGAGATTATGGTTGACTAGTAGGGATAATCTCTCTAGTTCGACAACTTCTTCTTCTTCTTGACCTTTTACTCTAATTATATTATAATAGAGATTATGGTCGACTAGTAGGGTTAATCTCTCTAGTTCGACAGCTTCTTCTTCTTCTTCTCCTTTCTCTCTCTCTCAGAACAGGACTGGTCTGAATCATTAAAACATGGTATCAGAGCACTAAATAAAGGAGAAGGCCGTGGCTTCAAGTATCTGGATCTGCGATCTAATCTTGTTCTTCTTTTCTTATTTTTTGGGCTGCACGATCTAAGGTGTACAGGTAGGTGGCTACAGCAAGTTTTTTTTGTTAATCCAGGACTGCCGCAATCTTCATTACAGGTATTAGAAAGGTGCAGCAGCCCTAGGTTAATAGTTCTAACACTGCTGTCACCATAAGTGACAGCCCTAGTGGTTGTGTGGTGGTGTTTGTGGTGCTCCAGACTCTCTGTTGAGCAGTTTCAAGAGGATTCTTGGTGGTTGTTTGAGTAACAGTCATGGTGGTAGGTTATCAGTAGTGGTGTGAAGAAAAAAAAAATTAGGGCCTGAAAGAGTGGCCGAATGTGTGGTGGTTTACATCAAGCTCTTTTTTGTTGACTGGTTGAGAGATTGCTGTAAGTGATGTGGAGACTGCTGTAGTGTTGACTTGACAGCAGAATTCTTTTAGTGGTTGATGATTCAGAATTAGAAATTGTATTGGGGAACACGATGGCAGCAACTGGAGATGGTGGTAGTGATCAGAAATCTGGTGTGATGATCCCCTCAGACTATCTAGGTGTGCAGATGACATCAATTAAGCTTAATAGTGAAAATTATGTGCCATGGGCCAAGTCAGTGGAAGTTTTTCTCAAGGCGAAGAGGAAAGTGAAACATGTGAAGGAAGATAAACCATTAGCTGAATCTCCAAGGTTTGATGATTAGGAACAAGAAGATACCCAAATCATGACATGGTTGTGGAACAGTATGGAACCCAAGATAAGTGTCAACTTTATGTCCTTAGATACAACCAAGGAAATATGGGAACATGCCAAGAAACTTTATTCTGGACAGGATAATACTACGAGAGTATATCAGCTCTATCAAGAGTATTTCAATTTGCAACAAGGAAATCAAACCCTAGAAGAGTATTATGCCAGTATGAGAAACCTCAGAAATGAACTCAATGTTTATCATCCCCTAACTCCAGATGTTAAAATTCAGCAACAACAAAGGGAGCAACTGGATGTAACTAGGTTATTAGAGGTGCTGATATCAGAGTATGAACCAGTTAGAGCACAAATATTAGGAAGTTTTGCCCTTTTTACACTCGAGGAAGTATTTGCTCGACTTCATGGGATTTTATTGGGACCCACAAAGAATACCACATCTAACAGATCAGTATTCGTTGTAGCGAGAGGAGGTGGACATGGTAATAGAGGGGGAGGGCATGGATTTCGAGGAGGTCGTGGTGGTGGAAGTGGAGGTCGTGACTCAAGGGGAGGTCTTGGTAAAGGAAGAGGCAACACTACTAGGAAGTGTACACATTGTGGTAGGGAAGAACATCCAGTTAATTTCTGTTATGATCTACATGGGCTAATCATGTGGTTGCTAGTGGGGGTGATGTGAGTGATAACCAACAGACAGATCAAACACCTTCCATGTCTACATCTGCTTCCAGGAAGGAGATGATGAGTATACCACGAGATGAGTATGAGAGGTTCCTTTAGGCCCCCTTCACAACATACCACTGCCACTCTTGCACACTCAGATATGGCCTATCTAGCATCCAAACCTTCTCACTGGATTATTGATTCTGGAGCCTCTGATCACATGACTGGGACTCCAGGTGTATTTTCTTCCCTCTCTGAAACTTCCACGTCACAAACTGTTACCTTGACCAATGGTTCTTCTTCCCCTATTTGTGGTGTTGGTAATGTTGACACTGCATCTCTTTCTTTATCATCTATTCTATATGTGCCTAAACTTCCATTCAACCTCATGTCAGTTAGTAAATTAACTAAGGCCCTTAATTACTCTATTACATTTTACCCTTCATCTTGTGTTTTTCAGGATCTCAAGATGAGGAAGAAGATTGGCGGAGGGCATGAGGCCAGTGGATTGTATTGTCTTGATGGTGGTGGATCTTCAGACTTCAGTTGCACTTCAAGCTCCCTTAACTCCTCTCCAATGGCATTGTCAGTTGGGACATCCATCTCTCAAGGCACTCAAGCTACTGGTTCCTTCTTTGAGTCATTTGTCTTCTTTATAGTGGGAGTTGTGTCAGTATGGGAAATATCGTCAAGTTTCCTTCAGTCCTAAGGTTGATAGTCGTATGTTGAGTCATTTTGCTTTAATCCATTCATATGTTTGGGGTCCGATTAAAATTGAGTCCAATAATGGTTACAAGTATTTTGTCATTTTTATTGATGATTGTTCAAGGATGACATGGATTTATTTAATGAAAGAAATGAGTGAATTATTTTCTATTTTTCAAAAATTTCATGCTGAAATACGTATAAAATTTGGTGTTCCAATAAAAGTTCTTCATTCAGATAATGGTCGTGAATACTTTCTTACTTCCTTTCAACAATATTTGGAACAACATGGCATCATTCATCAGACTTCGTGTGCATCCACCCCTCAACAAAATGGGGTGGCTGAACGAAAGAATCATCATCTTCTTGAAATTGCTCGATCTATTCTTCATCATATGAATGTTCCCAAACATTTTTGGAGTGACGTTGTGCTTACTGCTTGTTTCCTTATTAATTGGATGCCCTCCTTCATCTTTCACGGTCGGTTTCCCTTTTCTATTTTGTTCCCCACTTTGTCTCCCTTCTCATTAACTCCCTGGGTCTTTGGGTGTGTGTGCTTTGTTCACAATTTGAGTCCCGGTTTAGACAAGTTGGATGCACGCTCTATTAAGTGTCTTTCTTGGCTATTCTTGGACCCAAAAAGGGTATAAGTTTTACAATCTTATCACTTGGAAGTCATTTGTCTGCCCTGATATCACCTTCTTTGGGTGCGTACTGTTCTTCTTGGGGCCTTATGTACCGTCCTCTCCACCATTGATCCCTCTTCCTCTTCCAGTTGGTGATCCCGTTCTGGTTGTCCCTGTTATGTCTTAACCTTCACCTCCTCTAGTGCAAGTTCCTACTGAACGACCACCGATCCGGCACGTGAATACTCATCAACAGACATCGACACCTCCTCCGGCTTCTACCTTGTCCGTGGATCATGTTGTTGCTTCTGTCCCAGAACCTTCTGAACTTTATCTTCTCATTGTTTTACGAAAAGGTAAACGTAGTTGTACCCTACATCCCATTTCCAATTATATTTCTGCCTCTCACCTTTCCACTTCACATCACCAGTTTGTTTCTCTGTTGTCCTCTATATCTATACCCAAGGATGTCCAGGAGGCCCTTACTTCACCCGGGTGGCGTCAAGCAATGGAGGAGGAGCTTTGCTTCAGCTTGACATTAAAAATTCCTTCCTCCATGGTGACCTTGTGGAGGAGGTATATATGGAGCAACCACCAGAGTTTGTTGCTCAAGGAGAGGAAGGTAAGGTGTGTAAACTAAAAAAGGCAACTTATGGGCTGAAACAATCTCCTCGTGCTTGGTTTGGGAAATTTAGTGAAGTAGTGAAAAAATTTCGAATAAAATAATGTCAAGTTGACCACTCGGTGTTCAGCTATGATTCTAAAGCCAGAAAGATTTTATTAGTAGTTTATGTGGATGATATAGTCATAACTGGCAATGACAGATTAGGGATTGACAAACTAAAGGCTTTTCTGCAAGACCATTTTCAAACAAGAGATCTTGGGAGATTGAAGCATTTCTTGGGTATAGAAGTTGTCAGGTCAAAACAAGGTGTAAACTTGTGCCAAAGAAAATATGTTCTTAATCTGTTGGATGAAACGAGACTGTTAGGTGCGAAACCAGCTAAAACACCCATGGAACCAAATGCTAAGTTGAACAGTGATGCAAGTGAAATATTTGATGACCCTGGAAGATATAAACGGTTAGTGGGGAAGTTGAACTACTTAACCATTACAAGACCAGACATCTCCTGTGTTGTTAGTGTGGTGAGCCAATTTATGCAAAATCCCTGAGTACCTCAATGGGATGCAATTCTTAGAATTGTACGGTACCTGAAGGGAGCTCCAGGTCGTGGGTTATTGTAGAAACCAGAAGGAAGATTTGAGATAGTTGGGTATACAGATGCAAATTGGACAGGCTCGGTGTTTGACAAGAAATCTACTAAAGGTTATTGCACTTTTCTTGGAGGAAATCTAGTGACATGGAAGAGTAAGAAGCAGACTATTGTGGCAAGGAGCAGTGCTGAAGCTGAATACAAGACCATGGCACACACTACATGTGAGTTAGTATGGCTGAAAAATCTTCTACAAGATGTTGGATTCTCAATGCAAACCTATGAGATTGTACTGTGACAACCAAGCTGCAATCCACATCTCATCTAATTCAGTTTTCCATGAAAGAAMAAAACACATAGAGGTTGATTGCCATTTTGTGAGGGAGAAAGTCCTTACTGGAGAGAAGCACAGAACACGTGAGTTTAGGTGATCAATGGGCAGATTTGTTTACAAAATGTTTGATTTCAGGGAGAGTGAACTATATATGTAACAAGCTGAGATTATATGGCATATATTCTCCAACTTGAGGGGGAGTGTTAGAGTTGACTTTTATGTGGCAATTCTGTTTTAACTTTTTTAGTTCACTTGTCCCATACTTAAGTAGGGGCATATTTGACCTTGTACTCTCTCTCTCTCTCTCAAAACAGGACTGGTCTGAACCATTAAAACAAATATATTCTAGAAAACAAAACAATAACCCAGAAGCATATAGGATAAGAGGAACTTTTGGTGAGCAAGAGAGATTATATTGATATTTTCTCGACCCAGTGCAATGGAGTCTTGATTCATGGAATCATTACCATTGCTTCAGGGGCTTTGATGAATATCTTCCTTGTGTTTGTCTCGTGTAGAAGTGGAGGGTGGTTGAAATGTTGTTGCTGTCAGATGGTTGGAAGAGTGCATCAAGGGGCCATACCACATCCACCATCACATTAGAGAGGCTAGATCTTCAGCATCCAGAGAGATATTCTTGATCAATTGGATGCATAGATGAGAAAACTCATTAGCAAGAGGAGTTGGGAGATCAGAGTGTTCTTTTCTGGGAGGGGGAGGGGATTTCTCCCTTTTTTAGGTAGCTTGTACTTATGTTCTATCCTTCTACTTTTAGCATATTCTACATCTAATCTTGTCTTCTATTATGATTTTTGAGAAGATAAGCTGCTGCTGGTAATCAATATTGTCTTCTTTTTCACCAATAGAGTTAATAATTACCAAGAAAATGAGAACAAAATAGCAACCCCAGTTTCCTTCAACATTCTTTTCCAGAAACTGGTTTAGGGTAAGGCTACAATTTTTTTTTACTCAAATGGACTCTCATTGAAATAGAGATACTCTTTTTTTTTTATAATTGATTGAAATAGAGATACTCTTTTCAATCTATTTCTATTTCAGTATCTCTATTGAAATAGAGATACTCTTCATGTATGAAGTTGTGAGTTAAAACCTTATGCACACTGTTCCAACTTCACCCTTTTTTCTCTGATTGATAGTTTCCTTTTTGAAATTTGAACATGATAACTAAGGTTGCTAAATTACTGTTCACTACCTCAGAAAAGTTGTTGATCTTCTTATCAAATACCAACTGTGAAGTGTAGCATTTGTTTCCCTTTGGGAGGAAGAAAATAATATTTTTACTACCTTTATCTGAAATTTAACTATGTTATTAACCAAGTTTGTACCTGCAGTGCTTCCATTACTTGCTTTTGCATTATTTTCTATGCTTGCTTCACCATGGGATTCAGACCATGCATCCTTGGGCTCCTTTTGTTTATGAATCTCACTGGAAAGCATAATGCCTGAAGCATTCATGCAAGAGAGGTCTGATCGGCTAGACATTGCTTCAGTTGCTTCAATTTCAAGCCATTGCCCAGTTTCATGCTTTGCCTTCCACAAGTCCATAAACCTTATGCATGCCTCCCTGCACAAGAAAAATTAAAAATATCAATAATAACAAATTTCCTAAAAAAAGATTGCCACCAGTTGCCAGTCAGCTAAACAAATGAAGCCTACATTACAAATATCCCAAAGAAAGGGCTAATGTAATCAAATAATGCTCACATCAAGCGTGAAGCCCCAAAGAGTTCAGCAAATGATATCAAAGGTGCCATGTGATCCATGTCAAAACCTGCAGCAACAGCTCGAGCAAAGGCCATTCCTTGTTCTTTCTGCAGCACAGATTTGCGTGTCTCCAGCACTCTTAGGAGCTGAACTCTGATGAAATATAAATCAAATAGGATAAACCTCCTCAGAATGTTGAATGTTGAATGTTGTTGAGTCATTATAATGAGCAAACAAATTCATATACATAGCAGACAGAGTTCAGGAGTAGCATATCAAAGCCTGATGGAAAAGACATGGCTAGTCCTCTCACCCAGAAACAGTCAGAAAAAGTGGCTAAATAAATTTCAGTTCAAAACAAGGGGAAAACAGGGATAAGTGTTTTTGGGCTCGGCCGGAAGGATGAAAAAACAAAAGTGATAGGTGGCATCTTAAGTTTTAGTGGGGTATCCGAGGCTACTCATAATCTGTAATTCATAACCTGTATTCTTTTCTCATCTTAATGAAATTCTCTTTTACTGATCAAAAACAAAAAAAAAAGAACAATCAAAACAAAAATATATGTAGAGTAGCATGATTCCACTCTAACTTTAGAATCATGTATTGCCTAATTTGGATTAGAAAGTAAGTACATATCCCTTAATCACAAATCAAATCTAATTTAGTTTCCTAACTCAGATAAAGAACCCAAAACAAAGGCTTTGAAAAGGTTACATTGATGCAGGTCCTATTCTTTTAGATAAAGCATGTTCTATAATTACAAATCAAGCCCAAATTAGTCTCCTAAATAAAAGAAAAAAAAAGCACCAGTCTTGGATCAAGACTTACCATGTGGATACTGGATTCCAAAAAAAAAACAACAAAGCATATAATCGCCCCTTGTAGGCAGGGTCATTAACTATGCCTATTTTTAAAGCAAAACCCTCAGGAATCTTCTCCTTCAAACACGTGGCTATGCCTCCCACTCACAAAAGGAGCTAAATAAGTTTTAATTAATTCAAAATAAAAATACACAGACTGGCATTGGTACCACTCTAGCAAACAGTGTTGTTTCTAAGTTCAAATTAAAAAATTAGCTACTTATCAAAAAAATAAAAAATCTCATAAAATTCAATCATAGATCAAATCTATTTTACTTTCCTATCTCAAATAAAAAACCCAACCCAAAAAAGATTAAAAAAAAAGCCTAAACAAAATACAATTAACTTGGTGTGGGTCCCATTTTTCTAGATAGAATGTGTTGTTTAAACACAAACCAAAGATAATTTAGGTTGTCTTTGGTATCATTTCTGTTTCTACTAGAAACGTTTGGGGTTTATCAATACAAATTTTTGAGAAATTATCTTGTAACATCACATCAAATAACTACTTCCACTAAAAAATGCATGCATTGGATTGGTGTATGCATTTATAATAGAAACATCAAATTTGGCGCTTCATGAAGAAGTGACAATGGTACTAGCATTTAATACTAAAAATGGAATTTTTTATGTAAACCGATGTTTTAAAACGCAGAGGTGTGACACAAAGCATTCCACTACCTAGAAGTAAGAGGCGTAAGCCTCCCAAACACGAAATCTTTTATATTAAGAAGAATCTCATTTTTCTTTATTTTTAATAAAAATCTTTTATATTAAGAAGAATGAAGATGCATAGCACTAGTTAAAAATACAGCCTAAATGCTTCTGAACTTACCACATGGATAGTGGATCCCAAACAAAACACACAGGTATAAATTATAATTGCCACATACTTGTCCAAGTCATTTACTAGTACCTTAAAAAAGTGGCTCAGGTATTCAAATGTTGTTACTATACCTATTTTACGCATGGCAGCTAAGATAAAAAACCCAATGTTGGTCCCAGTTATCCAGGTTCTTGGGAGGGGTAAACTGGATACAGTCAAGGTTCAAAATATCGATACACCCGATATGCTAGTAGAGGTGTATAGGGCTGTATCGGTAGTTTTTTTTTTTTTAAATCTGGTTCTGATGGGCCGATTTAAGGTTCATCCACCCCCTGAACCGGCCAAAACCCCGATACACCCTCTGTAGGAGCGTATCGGGAAGCTCCTGATTCAATACGTATCGGTCGATATGGGCCAATACGTATTGATACTTTGGACCTTGCATACAGTCCTAACCTTTGGCATTTTTTGCATGAAGTGGTCACTCTAAGACTCAAGTCCACATTTTCACACTTGCCAGCCTGAGATTTTACCATTTTACCAAGTAATGGCATGGCAGCTCACAAATGGCAGACCAAAATGATCCTTTTTTTTATAATTGAAATAATTTTATTAATCAGCCATAGACAATAGTACAAAGTCCCCAAGGAAAGGCACAAGTTGCAACCTCTTCGGGCTAGTTAAGTATAGATTTCCAAATTAATAACAACTTACAAAGAAGCACAAAAAAGATCTTCCCTAGAAACCCCCTGTTTGGCTAAAGCATCAGTCAAAGAATTAGCAGACCTACCAACCCATTTTACCTCAACTCTCATATTGTTGGTTAACCACTTTACCTTTTTTATGAGATCTTTGTAGCCCCAAATGGTGGTATCCAAGTTTAGGAGCCACCTGGTTACCACCTGAGAGTACCCTTCAACTAGGAGATGCTCCACCCCAAGCTGGTTGGCGATCTGAATTCTTTGTACTGCAGCAAGGATTTCTGCCCCTGTGGAATCCCCCACTCCCGCTGGTCCTGAGAATAGGGAAATTATGTTGCTGTCCTTATTTCTCAAGGTACCCCCAATACCTGAAGGCCCGGGGTTGCCTTGGCTGCTTCCATCAAAGTTCAGCTTGATGACACCTTCCAAWGGYRGAAYCCATTCTGACAGAATTCTATCCTTCTTTGTTGAAGTGTTAGCTATTACTAGCCAATTCCTCCACAAGTCATCAAAGGAGAAGTCATCAAA